ATCAATGGACCTTCGATCTCCGGAAACTTCCGGATCAATGTTAGCGAAAAATCCAGAATTTTTCCGGAGCACAATCAGCCCTGCCAACCCCCCACTGTTATATTATAAGAATAACAGAGATATCTATATCATAAATAAATGTGAAACAAGAAGTGTTACAGTAAACAAAAAAATTTCAAAATTGGAAATATTCAGGTAAAAAAAGGGCTATGAAATTAAAAAACATAACTATTAAAAAATGAACATTATCTTATCTTATTTATTCTAAAAGCTAACAAATACATTTAATCAAAAAAATAAATAAATAATAAATAAAAAATTATGGAAAAAGAAAAAATTTTTACCTCTTGTATCTATTTGAATAAGTTTGTTTATCTGTACTTGTAGATTCTTGTAATAGTTTTCTTTTTAAAACAAATTCTTCTATCTGCAATGATAAACAACAAAGCACTGATATCAATCTACAATTGAAGCAATCAATAATTCACATGAATCATTAATATTCAATAACATTAAAAATCAATATTAAACATATTAACAAGCAGTATTATACATAAAAATAAGGAAAGGAAAAACAACACAACTAAAATTGCATTAAGTTATTTAATTCTATTTTATAAAATTTTTGAAACTATATTTTCTGACAATTTGTCCAGTGGTATTTAATCTAAGGAATTAAACTTCAATGAGGAAAACCACTTAATATTAACGTAACGTGTGATTAATACATAATGTCGAAGACATGCAAAATGTTTCCCTAAAAATCTCGATTATATGCAGATCATGCATTTTTTCAATGGATTTTATCCAGGGATTGTAGAACTTCAATAACACTAAAACGTTTTTCAATATATGTTCTTCTTGAACATTGTCCTCTTCTGATCAACTAAAATAGTGAAATAAAGTATTAGCCTGAACTATCACAAGGTTCAGATATAGATAATTTGGTTCAATTTTTTCCCCATATTAATGAAAAACTGTGATATTGATACTATTACATACTTGCACATTTATCATGATAAAAATTCTTATGATAAAAGTAAGAATTAGGAAAATTTGGATAAGATCAAAATTTTTTTTTAAAATTACTATTGTAAAAATAATTTGCATAGTACTGTTAGTAATATTTATTCTTAACCACCAAAGCTTTTTTACCATTCCAATTGTATGTCTCTGCTTTCCACTACGAAACTAAAAGAACCATACACATCTTATAGTTTTAAATTATTATCTTAGAATTTTTTTTTTTTTTACATTATCTAGCATATGAATGTTAAATAATACTACCAACTAGTATAACAACAATATGTAAACTTAATGTTTTAGTCCCTCTATCTTAATTTTTTTAGCAGCATTTAATTGATTGATTTGTTCATTTACATTGCACTAGAGCTGCACAATGGGCTATTGGCAACAGTCTGGGAAACATCCCTGAGGATGATTCGAAGACATGCCATCACAATTTTGATCCTCTGCAGAGGGATAGGCACCCCCGCTTCGGTAGCCTGACGACTTGCACGCGATGTCGAGCACTTTACGGTGGAACAGTTTAACGAGGACCAATACCGCACACCCTCGGTCCCTACGCAGACTGATCCAAGTGGTCACCCACCCGCACACTGACCGCAGTAAGTGATGCGTGACTTCGGTGATATGTGTGTGTATATATAACCGTGTCTTAACGATCAGTCCACTACAGGACTAGCAACATTTAAATAGTTAACTGTCACATATCAGTTTTTTAAGCATTTTAAGCCTACCTACAAATTGCAATGTTACTTTTCGAAACAAACTCTGCAGCGAATTTGCAACACGAAGAAGATTTACTGATAGAATTTTTATATTCATGCAAATATTTTTTCTCTTGACATTTGTTTTCACAAAGTTGCAAAAATATTTGCACTGATACCATTTGGCTGCAATTTAAAATTTGTCATAATTAAAACTTCCAAGATATAAATAGATAAAAAAAAATACAATTCGGTTCAGCAGAAATAAGAACTTTGTTTATTTTATTTAAATATAACCATAAATGTGGTAATTGAAAATCAGAAAGACTTCTTCTTCTGGCACGAAGGCAAAAGTTTAAAAATGGAAAAATCATTTTCATAGTAATATTTAAGAATAACTTACTTCATCATCAACAATTGTTTCCACATCAATCACAGAAGAACAATCTGATAAATCACCATCGTGGCAAGATGATTCTGAAAAAGTAATGTTGCAATTAACGATGTTACAGGAAAGACTGTAATTGGATAAATATATAAATTAGGACAAATTTATTTTATGAGCTGTATTGAGGGATATAGGAAAATAAAAACACACAATTTTATACCCATAGTTATATAGTTCATAGTTTAACAGTTATAGCTATAGTGTGATCAAATATTAAATTTCCACAAATTACATTTGTGGAAATTTAATAATTTTAAATCATATTTCTCATTGTAACTTCAGATTTCTTCAAACTTTTTACTTGGTAACTTCTTTATCAGAAAGCAGTTATGAAATCTAAAAAAGGGAAGAAAGTACAGAGATGAAAATTTAATAAGAAAATACCTCAGATGCTTAGTGATCCAAGATTAAGCTTTCTAAAGTAATCTTGGAGTTCAGGTTAAATTTTTGATTTTTATTTTTGAAGTTGTTAGCTTAATGTTTTTTAAAAAAGTTGCTTTTAAAAAAGATTTCCTTTTTAAAAAAAACACAAAATATAGGCTTCGTGTTTGATTTGATAACTTAAAGAACTTGCTATTTTCTTTTTTTCAAACATGTAAAGCAATAAAATTAAGAGATAAGTAGTTTTTAATAGGTAATTTAATTTAATTGTCTGTTGTTACATTTGAAAATGTATTGATTAATTTAACCAAAACTGATTTGAAGTAGTAGTAGTACTCTGATAACATTGCATTAGATTTGAACAACGGGCGAAGTTCGGGGAAACATTCCCAAGAATGGTCAGAATACATGCTATCACAATTCTGATCCTCTGAAGGGGGTGGCTTCTATGCCTTGGTAGCCCTGCGACCCGTGTGCAAGGTCGAACCCTTTACGGCAGATCAATTTAATGAGAACTGATACAGTGCACTTTCTATCACTCAGGTTTATGAAAGTTGTCACACACCCGCTCACTAACCACATGATTTACTGGATGCCGTGTCTTACAAATAGCCTATTGTGGGAGAAACTAATTTTAAAGATGATAAAAAATTTTCCCAAAGTAAATCTTACAAAAAGGAAGACTTAAAAAAAAAAAAAAAAAAAACTTAAAAAGAAAAAAATTACANAAATGAAAATGGTCTAAAAAAACATTTATGAAAATGTTAATGGCATAAGTATATTTTTTATCAAAAAAAGTCGAATTCATAGAATTATGTCGGGTATTAAACACAGGCTCGTTTATTGAAAAAAGGCTTCGGGCACAGACGGGCTCAGATTCATGATAAAATTTTTATAAACTTTTTTACTATTTTTAATCAAACCTTCTGGTTCCCTTGTTTGCTAGTTGCAAGATCGCAAAATTTGATCTTTATCTAACAAACATCTCAGGCAAGCTCTAAATAATATTATGTATCTCGAACCTTTTAACACATCTCTTTCAGTTCTCTTATTGACAGCTGAAGAAGATTTTTCTTAAAATACTTCAAAACATAGTTTTTAGGAGATCAAATATTCAACACCTGTTTATATGTGAAAATTAAATTAAGATATTTAAAAGAAGTTTAACATTTAAGCATAGTGTTAACACAAATCTGGCACTTGGAATTTTGTTGCAAGGTAAGAGAACTGTTAAGGGGCTGACAGCGTTAGAAATTATAGACAAAGAAGTTATTGGTCTGAAGGATCAGTAAGTAAGGGAATTCTTTACTGGTTCATAGACAATATCACTTGTTTATGAATGATCCCTTAGTTAACTATTTTCAAAATTTCTGTGTATTTTAGTATAACTTTATTTAGTATAACTTTAGTATAACTATTATTTAGCATATTTAGTATAACTTTTTGAACTAACATTTATAATTAAATTACCAAGTAATGCAAAATATTACACCTCTATAGTAACTAATTAAATTAAAAACTTGCTTCTTACATGAATCGCGATATTGGAGATTAAAATCGCGTGAATATGAATAGCAAAATTTTAAAAAAGTGAAAATACAAAAGGCAATAATGAATTTTTAAATCGCGCAAATGTGTATCACTGTGCATAATTCGTGCGAATACGAATCGCAATGTATAGTTTGTCAATCAAGTATAAATGCAAAAATTTATGTTTGATATTAAAAACACCTGAATAGGAATTGCAATATTAGATTTTAAAAAGGCGTGACTATGAATAGCAGCATTGGATTTTACACTGGTGTGAACACAAATCGTTATATTTGATTTAAAAACGAGTAAATACAAATCGTGATATTGGATTTTTAAATAATGTGAATAGGAAACGCGATGTAAGATTTTTAAATCACGTGAATACGAATTAAAAAATTTACCTTTTAAACCAGGTAAATTCGAAAATCGATGTTCGGCACTGAAATTGCGTGAATAAGAATCGAAATAGCAGATTCCGGCACAGTTCCAAATATTCAAGATGGGAAAAATCTGCCACACCATAAGATCAAATTGGCAAAAGAATCACGTAAGACATAATTGACGAAAGAATGTATGTAAATGTTTTATTCACGAGACTTAGTAAAAGCTTCAAAATTTTGCCGGGGTTTAAGTTTTAGATTTGCAGAAGTCTGGGAACCAATGGTTTTAAGACATGAGGAGTTCTGCTATATTCGCACAAAAATAGCAAGCCTTGCTTCTTATTTTTAAGTCCGGAATTCCGAGGTAACTCCGGAATACAATCACCCCTGATTAGTAAAACGAACCATAAAGAACATACCAACGTGATTCTCCTTTTTGTACACTGACAAGGCAGCTTTAGCACTTCCTTCAGAACAGCTGACCGTCGAGCAACTGGTACTAGTATGTGGGAGGGTCAGATGTCTACTTAAAATCTCCTTTTCAGAAAAATCATCCTGGCAAAGATGGGGTTTAAGATTACTAAACTTCGGCAATTTGATATCAGAAGATATTTTAATATCACCATCACAGTGAGCTTGCTCTGAAGAATCACCTTGATGTAAAGCACTAGAATCGAATCGATCAGAAAGCATTTCGTCCTCTATTAGAATTTCGGGCGAAGTTCTGTAGTCATCGACAGAGTTTGGACCACTATACCTAGTTATAGTGTGATTTGTCATAGGATTCTGATTGTTCATTATTGCAGAGCTATTGCGCAGTGCGTCTATTCTGTCCCTGTGTAGCTGGGCATAGCGAAAAGCCCCACCTGAAGTTCTCGAAAAGGGTTCTTTCTTTGTTGCAGGATTGAGAGATATCGAAGAATCCGAAGTACTAGCAACTTCATTCCTGCCCTCTTGAACACCAACCATGATATCCAAAGAGTCCACTTTAGTTGTCTTCCGTAAGCAATGCCCACTCCGAGTTAAATGGTACGGTTTCCCAAAGTGAGAAGGGGTTTGGCTTGCTTTTTTAATTTCAGCTATTGCAAAGTTAAATTCTTGCATATAGTTGCACATTCTCGTTTGGATTGAGGGTTGGGTACAAGATTCCACCTTTAAATAGATAGTTATAAATTAATAAAATATTAAATAATTCAATCACAAAATTGAATTTTTAAAATGAACCGCAAATATTGCCATAAATTATACAAATTAAACCAAACTGCTTCTTATTAACTAAAACTATATTAAACAAAGCTTTTTTTCAACTGATAAAGAGATTAAATAATATAATTCGCATCATGAACTTAAAACTAATTAGTATTATCAGTAACTAACTAGTAATATTTATGAGTTATCTTGTACAGTATAATAAAACTAATAAGCGCAACAAAGCACATTTTTAAATTAGAATACACTGGACTGTTAGAAAATTCTGTAATGTTAGAATTTTTAAAAATATTTTTCTAAATAGAACTAATATTCATTGAATTTTTTGAAGCAATTCTTAACATAAAATTAGATTTTCAAAATGATCCTTCTTATATTTCAAAATATATTAAGAACAGAGCTAGCAAATAAAAATATATTTCCCCAACAGCTTGTTAACGGCCAAGATGAAATTGATGACTCCCAAATTTTGTGACCAATGGCAACAGGGTGGCAAGGCAATGTTGTCCAGCTCAGTGCCTTGACCACTGAGCGATTCTGACTCCAATAATTAAATAAGTGCAACTATCTGAGTATAGATATTTTTTAAATATGAAAAACATTCTTTTTATCAATAAGTTAGAGGATCTAAAGTAGAAAATTTTTCTCTAAAAGAATATTAGCTTTTAAATTAGAATGAAATTTTGGTTCTCTTCATACGAAATCAAGATGTTTCAATTCTATATAGAAACCGACTTTCCACTATTCAAAACGGATGTGCCCCTATTAAAATTATTAACCCTATAAATAAGATTATGATATAGTTAAAAATTTTATTAAAATAAATACTTACTGAATCATCATCTACTTGATGGCTAAAAAGAAGAAATAAAATACATGAGAAGTTTATAAAAAAAAAACTGTATAAAAGTTTAGGTGACAATTTAGAGAGAACATTAGCTTTAAAGTTTAAATATTGAAAGTAAGGAAATTAAGATTATGTATTGTCACTTTTTTGTCCTAGAACTTCCGATCAGCCAAATCTATACATTTCTATCACTAATTTAAATTCTTATTACTATAATATTCATAGTCTTGGCATTTTAATTTGTTACTAAAAGAGAAAATTTCTAATGCTACTTAATCACCAGTAACCATATTTTATGTTAAAAAAAAATACGTGAAAAGAAATTTCATTCATTTTAAAACATAAACATAGGTTGTTTTATGTAATATAGTTGTTGATTTTAGATAATTACATATTACTACTTGCTGAATAAAATACTGCTAATTAAAATTCTATGAACTATGCTGAATAAAATGCTATATACATTATGCTGAATAAAATACTACTTGCTGAATAAAGTACTAATTGCTATGAAATATGCTGAATAAAATACTAACATATACTGTGCTGAATAAAATATTAATTGCTGAATGAAATACAGTCGGACCTGTTTATTTCGAATCTCAATGGGGAAAGGCGAAAAATTTGAGATAAAGTAATACAGGTACTTTAGAAAATTAAATTTAATTAAGAAATTCTATTAAAAGTGCTTTAATTGTTTTGAAGGCATTTCAGTAAATTAATTATACCACATACATCTATTTACATAAAATTTTTGTAACATACATTTAATACTGAAATTTTTTTTTTAAAGGCTTTTGACACCTAACTTTCTTTGTTTCGATTATTCTTGTAAGGTTAGAAAGAGCAGTAAATCCCTTGTAGCTCACATTTTCCTGGAATTCACGAATAGTTTGTAAGAATTCTACAGCTTTTTCGACCTTGTTTGCACTCACTTTTAGTTCATCAATATGATCTTCAGCTTCTTCCTCTTAATCTAATATTCATTTTACATTATCTATGATTTTCGCATCTGTCAATGCTTAGCATGCTGCCAGGCAGTTGTCTACTTGTAAAAATCTTCAAAATTAACGTCAACATTAAATCCTGATCTTATTGCAATCCATGCTTGCAAATCTGGCATTGCATTTCCAACGTCAACAGTTCTTTCTTCTTCTTTACTAATGCCTTCAACCTCTTGTTGCACTGGTGGTCACTCCGTCCAACTCATCAACCCCTCACTTACTGCCAGAATCATTGCATTCCTTTCAAGTTAAAGAAGTGCAGGGATAACAATCGAAATTCCAAGAAACACTTCCCCCCAACCTGTTCATCCCTGTTGGTTCATGAAATTCATCTGTCTGCAAGTGCTACTGATAAAAAAAGTTATGTAGTTCGGGCATTTGTGCTTTATTATTAGAAATGCGAGAAACTGAGGTTTTGAGAAAAAAAAAATTTTGACATAAATATGGAAAATACCTTGAAATTGGATAGTAGGGAATTTTAGAAATGTAGGGAATTTTAGAAATTTTGAGATATAAAGCTTATTGAGTTAAAGAGGTTCGAGATAAACAAGTTCAACTGTACTAATTGCAATACAAAAGACCAATATTGAAAGTAGGAGATCAAGATTATGCTTTGGTTAATTTTTTGTTTTAGAGCTTCCAATCAGTCAAATCTACAGGGTGATTCTAAAAAGATGGGCAAAATTTTAGGAAGTGATAGTACACACCCAAGCAAACAATTTTTATCAAAGAATGCATGGTCGAAAACAAAACGCAAAGGTGCTGGTGCATTTGGAAAGTTGATTGATGCAAACGTGAAAGCTCCAATCCTGTTGCAGAGTTGCTGCGCTGCGTTACTTGTCGCCAAGCTTTCGGCCGCTATAGGGAAAGTTCGTGATATGCCTGGTGTGTTTCAGAATGTTCGCCTATCTTTTCTTCGCCGTTGTACTACCTGCATAGCCGCTGCCGGCCACTGTTTTGAACACTTATTGTAATCACATGCCATTAAATTTGCTTTTATAACTTAACTTTATCGTTCTTTGTGTGTTTTTGCCTCATATAAGAACATAAACTTTGATGCCCTCTAGCGTTTTTGCGTCTTGTTTTCGACCATGCATTCTTTGATAAAAATTGTTTGCTTGGGTGTGTTCTATCACTTCCTAAAATTTTGCCCATCTTTTTAGAATCACCCTGTATACATCTCTATAACTCATATAAACTTAACACTATAACATTCACAGTTTTAGCATTTTAATTTGCTACCAAAAGGGAAAATTTTTAAGCTTACTAGTTAATTGTTTGCAACCAAATTCTTTTTAAAAAATGTAAGAAAAAAATCATTCATTTTCTAACATAAAAAAAAAAAAATTTAGGTTGTTTCATACAATATAGATTGCTGATATTAGTACCTGCTGAAAAAACATTTTATTAAAATATATTTTAAAATTTAAATTTGTTTCAAAAATTTAAAAAAAAAAGAATAACTGAAAACAATGGCAATAAAATAAGCAGTTGCAACTATAAGTAGTATAAAAAAAAGTAAAATAAACATTTACTTAATGCGAATTAGGGGTTCGTCCTTAGGTGACAGACAAGGTTTCCAACGTGACATGCTTTTCTCCAAGAGTTTCCTCTTTTGCTATGTTAATGGAGAAAATTAAAAATAAGGCTTACAGCAGAAAATAGCAATATACAAAAAGCACAGAAAAATTCTTACACAAAATTGTGAAATTTACATTATTAACTGTGAAATTAACACATGACACAAAGTAATCAACAAGACCTCTGAATCAATGTTAACGTTTATGGTTTGGATTAAAGTAATGAGCTACGATATGTTATGTATCTGCATTCAGTATTTTTTTTTTTAGGCCAGGATTGGCGATAATAACTAACAAAGTGGGGTTTGGATTGTACTTATGCTAGAAGATAAGTGTGATGTATGATCGGGGGAGTGGGAAGAAGTACTATAGATAAGGGAGGACATCATGATCAACCAACAGCAAATGAAAAAAGACTGGCCGACACTCATAAACTATAATATCATAGACTTAAGTCGAATGCATGAGAACGTCACCAAAATTGGGTTTCACAACTGAAAACGATCTGAACTTTCGCACAATTGATCAAAATACAGTCAAATAAATAAAAAAAACCTTTACAATTTATTTATCTAGCTATAAATATGAAAATCGATGTTCGATATTACAACCGAGTTTGATATGAATCCTGATATACAATTTTTTAATCGGGTGGATATGAATCGCAACTTCTAAATCAGGTAGATACAAAAATCGATGAAATCCTGATATTAGCAGATCCAGTGATGGGCCAGGATAGCCTGGTTGGTAGAGCGCTGGACTCGTGTTCATCAGAACAGGAGTCCGAAGACTCTCAGTGTAGTAATTGGTGACTGGTACACGTGAAGTCTGTCAGGTTATAAAATCCTCCAGGTTCCCATAACAAATTGTAGCCCCGAGGTGGGGGTACTGGATAAGAGATAGATTGTTTTCAGGTTCAGGTCAAAATTACAATCTGTGGATGAATGAATGGGTTAAATGAATTATTATAATTGTTACTAAAATTGAAAAAAAAAATTTTTTTTAGAAAAAAAAATCATCTTAAAGATCTATATTTCAAAATAATTAAATATCCTGACTCACAAATAATTAAATATCCTGATTTTTCCAGATTAATAAAATTCCTAGATATTTTCCTGTTCTGCAGCCACCCTGATATCTATCTATAGTTCTTAGAGAAGTCTGACATTCCTAGTCTACAGAGATTACTTTGGTCAATGAGGTAAATTACTTTTTCAGTTTATAAATCAGGTGTGGAATGAATTAATTTCTTAAACAACAATTAAGCAACTTAGCAATTGTAACTACACATAAATAAAATAGACTTTCTATTAAGAAAAAAAAATCAACATTTACTAACCCTATTGCTTGTAAGAATAGCATCTTTATAACCTAATACAGTTTCAGCTGAATGTGAAGTCACTGTGTTTCCCTCCTCCAAAGACAACTTAAAAGAGCTATTTCCTTCACCTCTAATGCGATTCCTACGTGCCTGAGGCTTTGATTTAAAACCTATACCTTGACTGCTACTAAAAGACATATAGCATACATAAAATTTACTAAACAAAAGATAAAATAAATAAAAAGAAGACTGAACAGTGAATAAAAGAAATAAGATAATAATAAGGCAACTCAATACATACGTTGAGGGTAGGTTATGGCAGTCATTCAGAGCCTGAGAAGAAGAAAAAAAAGTAAGCAAATAAGCACCTTCAGCAATAAAAATACAGTAAAAGATTATACAACAGGGGTCCGTCTAGGTTTTTTAAGAGGTACTTATTTTGTGAAAATTTAGACACAACTTATGAAAATTAAAAATTATATTAAAAAATCAACATAAAAATATGGTAAAGTAAGAAGATATTTTCAAAAATTGTCACTACAAATAAAAATGATCTATGACTGGTAAATTTTTATATATTTTTCCCCGTACGTTCAAAAATAATTTTGCTATTGTAAAATTTTGGGCTTAAAATTGTAACCAAATTTAAATATCCATAAAAATCATTGTTAAATTTCAACTTAAATTTTTAAAAAAATATACGTTTAGCAGTACTTGCACTAAAAGTTATTTTCATTATGAGAACATTTCCCACGGGTTTATGCAGAGAAAAAAAAGTTTCATAAAAAATAAAGGTCTGTTGGAATAAATTTAGAACAATGTTCGAATGTTTAGAATAATGTTCGAATTTCAACTTCCTGTAAAATTTACAGAGGGAGAGCCTCATTGTTTAATTTAAAAAAACAAAAACTCTCCGGGAAAAAAAGCTTATTGTTTCTTACGATATGGAAAAAAAATTTTAAGAGACGAAGAGAAGAATCTTAGAAACCACCGTTTTTCTTAAATTTGAATTTGTGAAGGTACCGCTAAATGGTAGTAAATTTGCCTTGAACATATCCTTGTACCAGCCAAATTACATATGCTTTGCTGAGCATGGGATAAAGGAAATAGAAGAAAATCACATGAAATAAATTAATAATTACAAGCACCTGAAAAACATTTTAGAAAACCATTTTCACACAGCAAATTTATTAATTACGGATATTTTTGCTTCAATGTTGTTTTAAGGGACAAAAAGTATCAAACTAAGTACAAATAATTTATTATTTTAACACAAACTTTCTCAGATAATAACAATTTAAAAGTGTTTTTTTTTTAAATAACTAAAATGGCAATAGGTCAGAAAATAAATATGTAGTTAAGAATAATGGAGTGCAAATTATATTAAGACTTAAATAAAAATAAACTATTCTGTAAAAATAAAATCATTTAACAAAACTTACTATAGAAGTCTGAATTTAACGAAATTTAATCTTGTACCATTACAAAAATTAATTAGTGAATGATGCACCATCCAAAACTTTTGACTGTGTGCTTATATTTCAATAACCTTAAAAGTAAATAAATAAAAAAAATTTAAATTATAAAATAAAGGAAATTTTTTAAATGCAGAAAACTCCGAATCGGAAGATTCTCGTGCCTGAAGTTAGTAAGCAGTCTGTAAAGAAATATACAAGGAACAGGCCATACAAGGAATCCTTGTCAAAAGAGAAGTTTAAAAAAATTATATAACTTAGGGGTTCCACATTAATATTTAAGAAACAAGAATATAAAAAAGGATACACAAACTTGACAAATATTTTTCAAAGATGGTGGGTTTAAAAACATTGAAACTTGTTTGATTGGCCAAAATTTGAAACCTCAAGTTTCATCCGGCCATTAAACATGCCTCCAAGCCCATTTTCCTGGGGTTTTTTTAAAAAAAAGATTCTAAAAGTTTTTTCTCCCATTTAAATACTAAATCATGGTCCTAGATGTATCAGCATTTTTAAAAGAAGGAGTCTAAAAATATATAGCAAGGGCTGCAATTATGGAATACTCAGTATAATTCTTACATACCAAGCTTTCCCTAGTTACCGTTGCTGATGCATTGTGACCACTCTTTCTATCAAATTCTGAGCTGGAATTTCCTTTAGTTTTGATGCCATTGGGATGATAATCTGTAGAATAGCTTGTAATCTTAAAAATAACACAGCTTCATTAATATACATTGCATTATAATGAAGCTGACATAAAAAGAAATAACACAAACATCAAACAAACAATAACTTACAATCAAGATTTGCATTATTAAACAAGAAAACATCTTTCTAAAAATATTTATAAATAATTTAAGCCAAACTTCCTGATCACAATTTTACTAAATTGAAAAAACACTTTAATAATTCATTTTTTCAATTAAAAATCTGTCTTTTATCATGTTTTATACAAATAAGCTTTAAATTAAAATTTCAAATTAACAATATTTAATTTGTTTAAAAACTTCATTTTTATATTTGCTGAAGAAAAAGTGGCAGCAAATAAATTATTAGGCTCTATAAAATTTGAAAAAGGAAAAAGAAAGAAAGGAAAAGCTCCCAAGCTTGCACTTTCTTTCAGGAATAGTCCGCTTTCAATTCAAAGCAAATTCTCCCACAAAGGAAAAAGAAACTAAGTTAATGTTTTTTTTTTTTTTTTTAAGCATAAACTGCTTTCATTTATTAATTTATCTTCAACTTTCTAAAAATTTTAACCCACCAAGTGTTGAGGCAAGTTAAAAAAGTACAGAAATTTTGCTGTTATGCACTAATTGGAATAACATTTAGAAATCACTTTTTTAATACAAGGCTTGCATTAAAAAGTTCGGAAAAAGACAGGTCTAATGCTAAGAGGGTTAACCCACTATCGGTTTAGCAAATGGGCAAAATTGGGAGAATGTTTCCCCCTAATACACTATCTTCCTGTATAACATGGAAAAACCGGTTCTGCTATGCAGAAAAGACTGCAGGTTAAAATACAACTTTTTACATGCAGAACCGTCAGTGGGTTGAATAGCGAAAGCAATCTACACCCTCTTATTCCCAGACCAATCAAATGCATACACCTGCTATAAAAACATTTTTCCCTTTTTCAAAATTAGAAATAAAAACAAAAAATTTTTATAAAAAAATCAATTTATATTTAGATAGCACATATCACTAAAAAAAAATAATAAAGGATTATTTCTTAGAGAAACGAAAATTGGCAGACAATTTTTTAATCTCAATTTCTAATATTTAATCAACCCTTTGTAGATCATTATTTTTACATTTTAATGCAGGTTAAGGCTACTAAATTTTGACCTCTATAAATAGCACCTTGGTCTTATACAATGCCAGCTAAGTACCATAACATCAGTGCAATCCCAGTTCTATAAGTATGAACACTAAACTAAAAGTAAGAAATAAAATATCACCTTTTCAGAGAGATCTGGTTCAGGTGACTGCTGAAAACTAAACTCTATTTCATCTTCAGGAAAATTCAAGGCTGCATTAGCATACTCTTCATACCATTGCCTTCTGGTTTTTTCTTCCTCTGCAGTTTTGAATGACACTGCGACAACAGTCTGGAAAAACAATCACAATGTTACCATAAATGTAAATGATAAATAGATTGAAAACTTTTGGTTAAAAAAAAAAAAGTAAAAATTGTGTCATTGGAAAAAGTTCAAAAATTACAATTTCATAAAGATCTTCATTCATTTCAGCCAGAGATGGTAAAACTATTTTGCTACAGTTTAAAAAAAAAAGAAAAAAAAGAGAGTTTACATATTTATAATAATACCACACATCTCTTGTTTCTGAACTAGAACCCTTACTTTAATATTACTAACTATTTTTATAATAATATTCTAATTACAAAATATTACAAATGCATACCTGCAACATTGGAGAAGTAAAATAACAAAGATTATACTAGCGACATTTTTTTATTAGGCTATGAGTGAAGTTTGATACATCATGCATAATCATGTAGGTCAAAAAGAGAAATTCAAAATAGGAAATAATATAAGCACTTACATTTAGTAAAGTAAAAAATATGTATATAAATCTTAATCTAACGAAGATTTTTTTTAACCATTATTTATGATTACTCAAACTATTTTATTTTATAACTGTCGTTGAACAGCGGACCCAATTTTTGGGTTTACGACTACTAATGTTTAACTCCTGAGCCCTGTAATTTTGAACCCAATCCAGAAGACTTCCGGATCAAATATTGAGCGAAATTTGCCTTCATGGAGGACTTTTTGATGGAACTAACTTGTATTTGAGTTACTTGGAGAGGAAAACCACAAAAACGTCCCAAGGTTAGTCTGATGGCAAAAGGACTCTAACAGGTAATTTGTCTCTACCACTGAGGATATTTTACGAACAGCACTGCGGTCGGTGCAAGCTGGATGCGGAATTCATATAGGCTAGTCATTGCTGGGATTCGAACCCAGTTCACCTTATTGGAACGTGAACGCTCTATCCCCTGAGCCATCACTGCACGACTTAAACTATTAACACTCAACATACTGCAGTATTGGCAATAGCACCATTTGCAGAGGAATAAGAGAAGTACTTTTGCTATCAGTGGATATTTTATCACCAAATTTTTAAAAAAAAACTTCATCAACAAACACGGAGAAATTTGAGAATATACACAGGTAAACAGGAGATGGTCATAAAATACAGGAGTTTTCGTTAAAAAACAGGAGACTTGGCAGGTATGCAAATGTAACACTTTTGCTTATTTTTAAAGTAAAAATTTTGTAGCTAAAAATAAACATGATTGTTAGAATAACATTTTTAACAGTAATTTTTTAACTTGCCAATAGCTCCTCTTTTTGTTGTATAGTCATCCCATCTTCATACAGACCCAAATCTAAAATGTAAAACTGAACTTTTAAAACCCTATTTAATTCTTATACATAAATACAATATATAATAGGAATATGTTTATATTCAACCAGCAACAAAAAATATTCAGTTGCATGCATGATGTAAAGTTATTTTAAATTTTGTATAAATATTAAACACAGATTTTTCTTTCTCGGTTGCTACTTGGAAGGGCAACATTTAAAATTATCAATATACTCTTTCGACATCCGGTATCTGTCTAGGTGTTTTTTTAAGAGGTACCCATTTTGTGAAAATTTAGACATAATTTGTGAAAATTAAAAATTATGTCAAAAATTCAACACAAAAATATGGTAAACTAAGATAATATTTTCAAAAATTGTCACAACAAATAAAAATTATTTAAGACTAGCGACTTCAGAGAAAAAAATGTTTCATAAAAAAAAAATAAAGGTCTATTAGAATAAATTTAGAACAATGTTTAAAATTAATTTTCGGAATTCTGGCATGCTTCCAGTCAGGCATGGGGAGGAAAAACACTTCTTACAAACCGTGTGGGAAGTGAATTCTTCTACTACATCATAATAGCAAACCACAGGTGGGTTCCATTCCAAATCGAAATGAAAATTTTAGAACTTGCTAGGGGGAAATTTTAGAACTTGCTTTTTTAAAAGTATTTTGTGAAACTACCGTTTTTCTTTACGTTGAATTTGTGAAAGTATCGCTAAATGGTAGTAAATTTGTCCTGTATAGAGTCCTGGACATGTATATGCATTTTGATTAAAAATATTATTTACAAACAATTATTTAGTATTTAGGCTTTAATTTTCTAATTAATTTTGTGCAAGATTGCATAACTCCTAATAAAGTTTTCATAGAACTATTGTTTAATTATTAAAACTCAAATTGCGATGCAGTAGAATTTCATTGACTCTTTTTTTAATAAGAAAAAGGAGGTCAATAAGCAATTAAATGCAATAAGTATGTTTAATATACAATTAAACATACTTTATCTTTTCACCAGTTTGTCTTCATATAGTATTATTCATTGAGTTTTTTTTTTTCCTACTGTACTAGAGCCTCATATTTTTTCTTTAAACAAATGTTTTGAAATATAAAAGAGATACTGGTTGTTGCCCTGTTATAATATTCAATCTAAATGAGCATTCTGTAGTAATGAATAGTTATTATTTGATTGAAACGAATTTAAAAATAAAAAAATTAATACTCAGAGTAAAAAAAAAAAGCAATTTAAATGAAGAAATTTATTTCAGTGCGAAATCTCTTACCTTTAAGCTTGGCATTCAGTTTTGTTTCATAAGATGCTCGTGATTCAGCATCAGTCTCTTCGTCATCTGAGATCAAAGTTTCTAGGTGTGTATTTTGGGGCAGAATGATAACCTGCACATTCATTAATAATATTAAAAGCAAATAAAAAATAAGATATTTATAATATAGAAAGCAATTGAAATTACAATTATTGATAGATTAAAATATATTTAAAAATTTTTTTTAAATGAAAGCTAAAGGTTTTACTATTGCAATATGGTTTTTAAATGTTTAATCAACTGATTATTAATCTTTTATAAGGTTATGGGAAGAATACGTACCACGAACTGCATAATTTTTTAATGTTTTAAATAGGAAGATATTTTCCAACTATGATTTGTGCTGCCATCTGTTGATAACTTAAGAAAACAAAAAAATAATAATGAAGGGCTTTGTTTTTACAAAAAAATATGAATAACAGCAAGGCTACTGTGGGGTCAAGAAAAGAGATCCATACTGAAGAAGTATTTTCCCATAATAAATTTGGTTATTCATAAGCATAAAAGTATAAGTTTATGACCAATTATTGACAATAGATAGAAATTTGAAAATCCAACCTAAATTCCAACAAAATAAATAAATAGAATAGTTTCAAAGATCAAATTATTTTTAGGTAATAAGCTAAGTAAATGCATTTTTATAAAACAATTTCAATCCCAAAAATATTTTGACATAACATTACCAGAAAAAAGGGCTTTATAAAGGATAAACAAGGCCAGAATAATGAGGATTTCAATTTCAGGAAAAAAGTTCAAAATGTAATAAAAAATCAGCTTATTACAGGAACCTAAATTTCAATACATTAACAAAATTCACCATGGGAATTTACAGTTGAAATGCCAAAATTTGAGGTTGAAACGTCAGAATTTATGACATAACAAGAATAAATTAATGAATAAAGGATTTCATATCAAGTAAATTACTAAAAAAAAGTGAAACTATCAAAAACTTGGTCTCAATCTTTATCCATCAATAAATTAAAAGCTTTATTCTACTAGTTTTAATGCATTTCGTAAAAAGCATGTTATAAAATTTCTAACTAGGAAGTAATTTTTTTACTATCAACTCTCTAGGGTGGGGGGGAGGATTTATTTTAAATTTGCCAGTTACTTGGGTGAATAAATTATTCAACTTGAATCAATGAAATCACTTCAAACAATCACAACTTTATAAGAACATAAGTGACATTTAGTAAACAAAAAATAAGTCTTAATTAGTTATGGTTTAACTATATTATGTGATTGATATTATACTCCCAGTAGTTCTTATACAATTTTCAAAACTCATTACAGAAAACTACTGAGATTGAATTAATTTTTTAATTGACAAGTTTATTTTATGTATTGTACCATTCACTTGTAAACATTGTTGCCAAACAAGGAATTTTAATGTATGAACAAGACGTTACAATAACCAACTTGTATGACCACTTATCATTAAAAGATAGAATTTAATATGTTAGATGGTTGAAGTCTTAATAAAAATGGTAAGTAAATTTACGATTATACCTACCTCAGAGCTACTATTTTCATTGAATGATTCTGTATCTTCTTGCATTTCTGTTTTAATTAGAATTTAAGAAAAAGCACTTGACATCTATAACAAGAAAAAAAAAAAATTACATTTCTTAAAAAGAAAATACCATGAATTCAAATTATTAATGTCATTAAAAAGTATTTTTTTCCCTATACATATGAAATATATATAGAAAATAGTTGTATAAACAAATAGTTGTTTTTCAAATTTATATAGATAGAAGTTGTTATAGATTTGCGGAATTTTAATTATATTAGCCATAATGAAAAGGTATAACACTTTCAAATGTACTTGATTTAGTAAAATTTAAATATACTCCCAAGTAATTAAATATTATCACATGATTAATAAATCATGTAATAAATTAACAAAAAATAATTTATTAATTTTTATATGATTTTAGTTTTATGTTAACAATAGTATTTAATTATGTTAATGTACAAAAATATTAACACAGACATTATAATTGTAAATTGTTAATTAGCATCACAACAACATCTTGGGCAGCTGCTTTTCACTAAATGCATATATGCTTATTATTAAACAAGACCTGAACACTGGAAACAGAAATGCTAAGTAGTTTCTATTTCTTAATAATGTAGTGGTGAAAATAAATGATAAATATTTAAGCATTTTAAAAAATATTATTTACTTTTTAGAATAAAATAAATTATCAATAGCACTAAACACAATTGATGCAAGTGCGACAAAGAGAAAAAACAATTTCAAAAAAAAAAAATAAATAAGTGCAAGTATGAAAACTCTTGAGGGCCTTTGTGTTGGTTCTTCATGCAAGCAAGCTCTAATGCAGCTATATCCCAATAATTAATTTTGCTAAGTGTTTTGAGGAACCTACTAAAATTGCCACCGCTTCAAAAGATTTTTGATACTGATTAAAGAGAAAATTGACTAGCTAGAGCTTGACGAATGATACGATAGAGTTAGCCACCTTTATAGAGGATTTTATATTAGTTTATCGTATGCCATTGCTCAGTTGACACCGTAACATGGCGAATTTTTGGAGATACCTATACAGAAATTTTCCAGAGTTTCATGATATTAAAAATTCATAAATATAAGTCATTCCACAAAAAAGCTTTTTACTGTCTAAAATTTAGAGTTGCCTTTTACCTTAGCAAAAACCACAAACTTCCTTCTCGAAAACTCCTTAACTCTTAATTATTTTGCAATTAAACAAGACAACTTATTTAAGCTAAAATAACTTACGTAATATCATATATAAAACTTTTAAAATTGCTATTAAACTTACACGGGAAACATAATAAGTACACAAACAAAAATTTGACAGTAAACAACCTGAAAAATCTAAAAAGTACAAAAAAACAAAGTCATACGAAATTGGAACAAAATTTATTCAAGTTGATTTTCACAATTTGCACAAAAAAACTGCAAAATAATTTGCAATGAAATTTAATAAATTGTTGGTAGTGAGCACACAAGAATTTACAAGCCAACTGTGAGGGAACACAATGATTTAATTACCGAACACAGTTCACGTGTGAAGCATCACTTAAGATACGTACTAGGATAAAAGGGCAAAAGAAAAATATTGTCCTTTACAAAACACAGGTTCTATCAACACAAACTCGTTAATAATTATATTTATTACAAGGAAAACTTGATTTATTGTTAGGAACCCATTAGCGCTTCTCATTCTCGACGATATCTCACATGAGCAGTTAACGGGCTTCTACGCCATAGATATAATTAGAATAACAGAAGGTATTAAGTGCTTGATAAGAACAGTTGCTTTCGTATCAAACATATTATAGTATGGCGTAAATTTTTACATTAATTTATAAAAACATTATTAATAACATAAACAAACACAGTGAACCATTTAAAAAGACATCTTTTCGCATTTAGTTGTTTAATACCTTGTTTTATTGCGCTAGAAATGGGCCTTGTAGACAAAGCATCATCCAGAGAAAATGTGAATTTAAGGAGTATTCTGACTGCATGCAGTCACCGCGCCTCCAATCCCCGACGAGAGGGTAAAATAACCTGATAGGTGAGTTCTTCGTATTGGCGATCACAACGCTCGGGGAGAAATCGGTTTCATGACTTTGGCCCTTCTTCCTTCCCTCTCCTCCTCTTTTCAGTTGCATAAGAATGTACTACGAAATTTTCCATTTTATTAATATTTTTCCTTTTTATTTAATAAAAATATTTTTCAAAATTTCCATGATGCTTTTCTTTAGAACTATGTTTAAAGTAGTTTTCAGTTCCATATAGTTTTTCAACTTAGAAGATTTTAATTTATATGAAAATCACGAGAGAAACAAACGTACTTCCTTCCTCTATGACTCTCCACAAACAAGCTAATGAGAAAAGCATGCGAAATGTAGCCATTGTTGTTGTTGTTGTTGTTAATTTACGTCGCCCTAGAGCTGCACAATGGGCTATTGGCGACGGTCTGGGAAACATCCCGGAGGATGATCCGAAGACATGCCATGCCAATTTTGATCCTCTGCGGAGGGGATGAACTCTATGGATGACACCCCCGCTTCGGTAGCCCGACGACCTGCGCGCGAAGTCGAGCACTTTACGGTAGCACAGTTTAACGAGGACCAATACCGCACACCCTCGGTCCCTACGCAGACTGATCCAAGTGGTCACCCACCCGCACACTGACCGCAGCCAGTGATGCTTGACTTCGGTGATCTGCTGGGAACCGTGTCTTAACGATCAGTCCACTGCGGGACCGAAATGTAGCCATAGGTAGAGAGTTCTGCTATACGCCACCTGCAGCTCATTTCGATCGCCAATCACAGAAAAATATATTTCATGTCATAATCCATTTCTCATTTCATCCTTCATTCATCTATATTGCCGATCAAAATAGGCTACAGAGGTGGCGTGGAGCAGAACTCTCGACCTATGGAAATATTTGTATGCTTTCACCATTAGCGTGTGGAGATAGTCAGAGAATAAAGAAGTACGTTAGTTTCTATCTTGATTTTTTAATAGATCAAAACTTTTAACTTAGGAAACTATATGAAACTGAAAACTACATAGAATAAATAGTTCTAAAAGGAAGCATCGTGAAAATTTTAAAAAATATTTTTGACAATGAAATACGAAAAAGAAAATAGGGAAGGGTTAAGAGTTGGAACTGGACTTCGCCCAATAAGACGTATTCGAGAGTTGCAATCATCTCCCAAATCAGTTTATCCTGAAATTTGCTGTAGATCATCGAAGTCAAGCAGACTGTAGTCAGAGATCTGAAAGTGACCACTTTGATCAGCCTGTAAATGAATCGAAAAAGTGTGTTAAATCCTCGTTAATCTGTTCTGCCGTAAAGTATTCAACTTCGCTCGCAGATCGTCAACCTATACAGATTTGGTTGAGCCCAGCCATCTCACCGCAGAGGATCAAAATCGTTATAGCCTGTCTTAAGGATCATTCTCAGGGATGTTTCCTACACCGTCATTGGGTTGAATGAATTTTTCAAAACTGTGGAAAATAATAACTGATGCCACGGAGTACCTGGCTAATGAGGCCACCTCCGTAAATGATGAATTAGCTATTGAATCAAAGGCCTGTGTAATTAAAATTAGTTGATTATTTAAATTAATGATTAGTAATTAATTGAAATGAAGGAAAGGAAAAGAGAAGGAAAGGACATCACAAGTAGGGGACAACACAAACATAGAACAACAATAAACAAAAATTGGTAAATTTCTAGAAATGGAATTTTCCAGATCAGAAAGATTATTTCAGACGTATCAGATTCAATATTCAGAATTGAATTAAAAAGTTAAAAAGAGTTTACATTTTTTTTTTTCATTTTCGATAAGGATTCTAAAAATACTTAAAGTATGGTCTTTATGGAACACTGAAGTTTCTAAACTTCACCTGGATTATGGTTGACACTATTTTCCCTATTCGTAAGACGTTAGAGCGTATTGTTACAGATCTTGAGCTACCATATTCTATATCAGGAGGTAACAACATCATAGAAAAAATTCTTCACATTCCTCACAAAAATTGCATTGGATATTACTAAATTGCAATACTTGCGGTTCAAGGAGACTACTTAAAATTTGTTCCATAAGAATTTGCTAACTATTAAATTTTAAAAAAATAGTCACCTACATTTTCGAAATGATACAAAAAATACCTATTAATCTGAGATGTAAGATATGAGAGGAAATAGGCTTTTATTCTCTAGGGAAAATATTGAACCTTCTCTATTGCAGTTCAGGACCCTTTTTCCTAAATTATAATTCTGCTGTGATGGGGAAGTTATAATAATTTAATTCAAAAATAATTTTTTCATTTAATTTACTGCAGTAGCCAGGAAACATTGAGCGTATGTTTCTAACAGTTAGCTTTTTCTTTCAATTTAACTTTTTTTAATTTATATTTTATCAAGTTTTGGGTTTACGAATACTAATGTTCAATTCCGTAGCTTTGTAGTTTTTAACCAATCCAGAAGACAAGGAAACTCCTGGATCAGTACCCCCAGAGGTATGATTAGTTATGGAACCATGGAGGACTTTGTGATTCGACAGATATAGCGTGCATCAGTCGCCATTTACTACACAGAGAGTCAATGTAAGGAAATGTGTCTTCGATATTGTTTTTTTTTTCTTTCTATTTTATACATCCCATCTATCCCCAAATTGATCTAACCTATACTCATGGGCTAAATAATGCTTGAAATGTTCTAATTATAGTGCTAATTCTTTTTCATTGATATCAGTAGCATAAAATCTTCAAAAATTATAACAGTGAAGTGTTATTTCCTTCGACTTTAAAAAATTCAAATTTGAAAAAAAATCCTAACAAATTAGTTATTGGTTTACACGCCATTGAAATAGATTTTAATGGACTAATCAATACGTCAAGTACTGGTAGATAAACTTTAAATATTTCGCTACCTCATAAAATAACATCATCTGCATCTCCATAATGAAATATTAAACGAGAAATTCTTGATGAAGTACGCGTCTTCTCATTTTCATATTTAAAATTAGGTAAATTTTCCTTAGAAATGGTTTTATAAGTAGAAAACTTTTCTCTCCATTCACTCACAAAGGCAATCAAGGATTCTATCAATTTGAGACTATCATCGAAAGGAAGACCTTTCTTCTGTATGCTTATCGAAGTCTGATTTATTCTCGATTACATCACCACAAAATTCTTCAATTCAACCAACTTCTTCAATTTCTTTAGAAGGCAACGACCATCGAGTCTAGTTTTTAGAAGCTCTTCTTTGTTCTTTTCTAAAATTTGAAGAACGGCCATAATTTTTCCGTAACTTTTATGCAGTGCCGTTGAAGTGTCTAAATGGGCGGACCACCTAAGTATCCGATGGATCTTTTACGACTAGTCCAGTCCAGATTCTAAGCATTCTGTTATCCACCAATAGGTAAAACTTGAGAAAAAAAGAGCTGAATTTGTGTAAAAATTCAATATAATCCTCTAAGACGCATCCCACTGCTTGTGCACGAGTGACGTTTAAGCTATGTGCTGGCATTGTGAAATAATTGCGGTGGGACATTCTTTTAACATTGCTTGTAAACCTGATTATCATTTAACCTTGCATTCCCAGGTAGGTCCATCAGTGGACTGATCGTTAAGACACGGTTCCCAGCAGATCACCAAAGTCAAGCATCACTGGCTACTGTCAGTGTGCGGGGGGGGGGATTGCCACTTGGATCAGTCTGCGTAGGGACCGAGGGTGTGCGGTATTGGTCCTCGTCAAGGGCGGCGCCAATAGGGGGTCAGGGGGGGTGGAGCACCCCCGTCGGGCATGGCCAGCCCCCCCATCCGGAAAAATTTAAAGTCTCGTCGGGAAAATAGTCTGGTCACATTTTTTTTTCTAAAAAATGTCAAAAATTCATTTACAAATGCCTAATAAAAATTTTTGTAGTTGACTTTTTATTTATTTATTTTTAAGAATTAGTAACAAAATTTAGTAAAATATATTGTAAATTCTATGTAATTGTAGTTTCACTGCACTACTCCTAACTTTGCTCATACATTGTTAAACTAGAGTCCGGATGCGATTAGACATGGTTGAAATTGAAGACTTTTCGAAGACCCATAGAAATCCTTTCCCCTCAAACACATCTTGATTTTCTTGGAAACTTATCTTTCAAACTGCTATTCTTTTTTCTCGAGAACTGAGGAGGGGATAGATAATCACCCCTCTTTACTGGGAGAATAACTGACAAAAGCCTGAGGGACAGAGAGAGAGAGGCAGGTCCTCTTTACAAATTCTTTTTTATGTAACATGTTTATTAATGGTTTATGGGATCACATAATTGCTTTGTGAAATTTTCAAGCAAAATGAAAGTAAAAGAATAAAATAAAAAAAATTCAGTTTTAATTTTTTCATTTTTTTAATACTTTTAAATGAGGAAAATCATTTACTTATTCGGATTCAAGGTTTATATTTTAATCAACGCATTAAATAAGCAGTCGGAAAAAAA